CATGTGTTTTCTGTGGCTAGTATTTATGCTAATCCGTATGTTACTGAGAAACTCTTGGAAAGCTGGACTGAGTTCGTTTGTAAAGGATTTATAATGTGGTTTGTGTGAGCAGCCTTCAGAATTCTCATATTCAGCATTCTTTTCATACTGTTCTACTTCATTTTATGCCACAAGTGATCTCTGTTTTGATGCTAATCTGTTAAGAAAGAATATGGTTCAAACATTAGTCTGCAAGTTTTAATAATTCAAATTAGGTTGCATTTATCTATGAAGTACCTATTTGCCAAGCACAAACAAATGTATGCTAAAATGCCTTAAAAATCCCAACAAATGCACCTTTGATATGGTCTTCATGGTAGACAGAGAGGCGTTCGAGGATTTTGTTTCATGATTATGATATTCCATTTGGTAGTCCTTAAGTGTACAGTGATGGGAGATGTATAGTTATTTACATGATGCAATATCTTATATTATGATTTATGCATCTGAAAAATGACCATAAGAATCACATTTCTGTGAACCTATAGGTACGGATGGTCACTGGAGACAATCTTCAAACAGCAAAAGCAATCGCATTAGAGTGTGGAATACTACTTTCACTCGAAGATGCTACTGAGCCTAATATCATTGAAGGAAAAACATTCCGTGCATTATCTGAAAAAGAAAGGGAACAAGTTGCCAAGAGAATAACAGTATGGCTCCTACATTGTGAAAATTCTGATAATATGTATTAGCTTTTGATCTTCAGTCTGTTCAGCTTAATATGTCAGTTATTCATAGAAATGTGAGTTGCTCTGTTTGTACCTAAAGCCAATATACATTTTTGTATGGTGTTTCTTAGGTAATGGGCAGATCTTCCCCTAATGACAAGTTGTTGCTTGTGCAAGCATTACGTAAGGGTGGTGATGTTGTCGCAGTAACAGGAGATGGCACTAATGATGCTCCCGCACTTCATGAGGTTTGTCATTTTCGTGGATTAAATAATTTCATGTGGTTGGCGCTTTCATGTCTTTTAAGCTTTAAAAAGATATCTCAAGATGGATGTGCTAAGATTCTACATTGACATAGAAGAATCCTGATAAATGTATTTTTCTTGATGTTAATGAGATGTGAAGTTTGAGATGCATCAGGTCCTATGATGGACAATTAGGTATATATTTGGATGACTAGAAGTATTACATAAAATTATATCTATATCCATATATGGAGGGAGCTTCAATTAAGGGATCCCTTAAATAACCTTATTCAAGGGACACCCTTGTATGACCCACTCCGCATTGTATTTCAATGATCCGAACCCTCTATTCTTTTAGGGATTCCCTCAAAAATCATCTATGATAAAATCACTTGAATTTGAAAACATTTAACCACTCAATTAAATGGTTGTCATTTGAGTGTTTTCTTGAAATACCTTGTTCATCTATTTTATTCATCACAAGTAGATGTATTAATGGTTTTCAACTTGTTTAAGTTTTTGTAAGGGTGATTTTTGAATGAAGAATTGAAAAGTAGACAGTTTGGATGATTGAAGTAAAATTCATGGTGGACCTTATATATATAATCAATTGAGAAAATATGCTTGTAATCTAGTCCATGCTGCTTGGTTTGTTTAGCACTCTAATGGAGTACAAGTTACAACAATCTTGACCGATCTGGAGTTTTGCATTAAGTGTGGTTGCATTCTGGCTGTGGGTGGTTAGGCCTTAACCTGATTTGGCTTGGTTTAAAAAAACAAAAATTTGTTTTATTCCTGGTTTGGTTCGGGTGGACTTGTCCATCTCCTTTTGTAATTGGTTTTCTATCTTTTAATAAAGTTTTCTTTCCTATGGAAAATAATGGAATAAGCATTTATGCTTCTTTAAAGGAGCAATATCTGTATTTTGATCTTGAATATCAATACTTCATAGATACTTCCTATATGTATTAAGTATCTCACAGATATATCCAAACGCTTACATTTACTTTTGAAAATTGAAGAAGTATCCAGTCATTTTTTATATTAATGGATATGGTCTGAATATCGGAATACAAGCAAATCTATAATCATTATCTGCTATGCACATTCATGTCCATGCTGCCACAAAGGTTTGTCTTAACACAACTGTTTTGATGCAGATTATTTAAGAAACAACACTTGTTCATAAGAATTCTCTTCCTATATATGATAGGAAATAGCATCTTTTGAAACTGAATGGTCATTGGTATCAATATTAACACAGTAAAAGGAAAAACATCTTCGTGGTTCAGAAGGGTGGTTTTTAGCTGGATGACCTTTCTTTCCTGCCTCTTGTTGGTCATGGTTTTGATTCTGGCTTTTATGCTCTAAAACATTATCTGTTCAACTTCCACTGTTGGAACGTTTCCTAGTTATAGTTGATCAGATTTTTACCATTTTGTATTTTAGGCAGACATTGGTCTTTCTATGGGCATTCAAGGAACTGAAGTTGCAAAAGAAAGTTCTGATATCATTATCTTGGATGATAACTTTGCTTCTGTTGTAAAGGTGAGCAAACAACTTATAAAAATTTTGCTTCACTTGTTTATTTAAAATTCAAGTAATTTTGTTGCTTTTTTTGCATTTAGCTTCTTCAAGTTAAAATAGATAATACATTGAAGCTTTTAAACCTCGGCCCATAGGACTAGCATCTATGTGGTGGATCTTAATGAAAAGGTTTGTGGTTAGGAATGGTCTTGAATCTTGATAGTTCTTGCTCAAGGTTTGAGGCACATCATCTCTCTTGCAGGACTGCCTTATATTTGAATTGAATATGCATATTATGTTGTTTTTTTCTTTCTGCTTTCCTCCTATCATCGTATCTATTGTTGTTTAACCTGTCAGATTTGTGAACATCTATTTTTAAGAAACACCACATATCTTTTTTTCCTGACTCCTGGCATTGGTAAATATTTTGACATATCTTTTAACGTATCATACATTAATATCTTTATATATAGTAAATATTTTAATCTTTAGTCCTTTTCTTTTGCCCTGGTTTTCAGATCATTGGTAAAAAAAATTATATAGTTTTGTGGTTAAATTAATGGGTTGACTTTCAGTGCATATACCCAAGTTATATAAGGAGTGATATAATTCTGATATAGCTTTACTCATCTAATGATAGGATTCAGGTTGTGATTTTATTTGTTTGCAATGTTTTTATGTAGGTTGTTCGCTGGGGACGTTCTGTGTATGCAAATATTCAGAAATTTATCCAATTCCAACTTACTGTTAATGTTGCAGCTCTTGTAATTAATGTTGTGGCAGCGATATCCTCTGGTCGTGTCCCGTTAAATGCTGTACAGGTTGATCTCTCCCTCTCTCCAGATATATATATATATATATATATATATATATACAGTCCCCTTCTATTTGAGGGACACCTTTTAGGGTCCCCTACGAATTTTTTTTCAACGATCCAAACCATCTGTTTTTTAAGTCTACATTTATAGATCATCCTTACAAAAAATTAGACAAATCGGAAACCATTTCAACAACTAATTGTGTCCTACAAAATTAATGAACACGGTGCTTCAAGAAAGTACTAGAATTTCGATTACTCAATTGGGTGGTCAAATGATATCGGATTCAAGTGATTTTTTGTGGAGATGATCTTTGAATGATTATCTAAAAAATAGACGGTTTGGATTAGTGAAATACAATGCGGAGTTGGCCCTACAAGGGTGTCCTCAAATAAGCTTTTTTGAGGGATCCCTCAATGGAAGCTCTCTGTGTGTGTATATATATATATATATATATATATATCTCTTAATTGGTTATGGATATCTATTATTCCGTCATGAATCAACATTGCACTGCATATTTTGCACAATCTGGAATATGAAGCCAGAACAAAATGAGTAAAAGAATCCTCGGCATTTTAGAATGTCACTGCTCATTTGTTTTCTGTCATTTGTTTTTTTCTTACATTGTGGTTCTAAATAGCAATGGGCCCGGAAACTTCAGGACCCTCCTTGTTATAATGTGTTTATGTTCTTTGTACAGCTTCTGTGGGTTAACTTGATCATGGATACTCTAGGAGCACTTGCATTGGCTACTGAGCCACCTACAGACAACCTTATGCATAGAAAACCAGTTGGCCGAAGGTGTGAAATTCTGTGGCTAGCTAGCAATGGTGTATTCATAACATATCTAAATTCGATACTGTTAAAGTTAAATTCTTGTGGCTGTATGCTGTTATAAATATGGTGGCTGTCTATTGTTGTTTTCTGAATAACAAAATATTAAAGTCTTGATCTTCTAGTCACCTTTCAACAGAAAAAAAAAATTCAATAATTTTTGGATATTTAAGTGTTTAACATCTGAAGATGATGATGAGTTTCAGCTAGCGTCTGGATTCTGGGCATATCAGAAGAAAATAAGTTGATCTTGCTTGGCCTTTTCATTTGATACTTTTGTCATATTCATTAAAATCCCATGGGATCTATAAGAATACTATGGGGGTTGTCCCTCTCCCGGCCCTCCTCGACTGCCCTCCCACAATTATTAAGAGGAGGAACAACATATGCATTGAAAGTCTGCTGTTCATTATATTGTTGATTTAGTTTTCTTGGACCCATATTTCAATCACATGGGATGGTCTATAATCTTCTTCCCACTCTTAGTCAACTTTTTATGAGTTTCTGATAAGGGAAAGTAGAATTTATTTGCATTTATTTTGCCCTTCTGATATTTTCTCTTGAGTTGCGCTCATCTTAAAATTGAGAGATTGTATATTATTTTGGGTGCATTTGCAAGGCCAGGTATTCTTGTATATCACATTCCCTTAATGGACCACCTCTAGTTTTAGATGAAGGAAGTAATGATCTGATGTTTGCTTGTTTAGGGAACCTCTTATAACGAACATCATGTGGAGGAACTTACTCATTCAGGTACCTAATATCCATGAGACTATTGTTGGAAAATTACTGAGATCACAGTAGAAACATAAGTTACCTTGTACAACTCTGTTTCTGTCATTAACTTTTACTTACCACAGGCTATGTATCAAGTTGCTGTCCTCCTTGTCCTCAACTTTCTGGGAACTAGCATTCTTGGTCTGCAAAATGAGACTCAGAAGCAGGCCACTAGTGTGAAGAATACTATCATATTTAATGCATTTGTCTTCTGCCAAGTAAGTATAGGAACTTGAAAATAATGCGAATTAGGAATTACGTTCTAATTGTTTAGCTAAGTTGGTTTTAAGGTTTCAATTTTGCTTGTTAGTTATCTCATTTATTGTATCTGAGGATACAGAAGTTAAACAGATGATATTGACATGCCATATCATGCAATTAGCCTAACCTCTTATTAGTATTTGTTCTGACGCCTATCTTGTGTTTTTTTATACAGATTTTTAACGAGTTCAATGCTCGAAAGCCTGAGGAAATAAATATCTTCAGTGGAGTGACTAAGAACTACCTCTTTATGGGAATAATAGGAATTACATTAGTACTTCAGGTGAGAGGCCAGTACATTTATATTTTGGTTTAGGGTTCTTAGTTTTACTATCATACAATTACTCACTATAACTGTATTTGCAGATACTGATCATTATGTTCCTTGGAAAGTTTACAAAAACAGTGAGACTATCATGGCAGCAATGGCTTATATGCTTGGGTATTGCCATTGTCAGGTACGTAAACTTGATGATATTGCTTATATTTTTCTAAGCTCAAGTTTGGCTAATGAAGACCATGGGAGTCTTATCCTCATTATTGTACCACCTTGAGAACCACAGTTGACAAAAAAATGAAATTGGTTGCCAGTCATTTTTGGTTTGCAATTTAAATTTCTCTAATTTTGATTTTATTTTAATTGGCATAGATATTAAAGAACTACCAAATTACCTTGGTCTCCATGTTCACATATGATGGCATGAACATGATAACCTTTGTCTCTTAACATCACCTGTAAATAGGGCCTTAGTAGTGTCTTGTGTCCCTTAAGGTTCTTCATAGTTCATTCAGGTTGATGGTCATATACCATGCATCCATCTTCTTTACATGGTACTTAACTGTCTTTATTTTCTGACAGTTGGCCTCTTGCTGTTATTGGAAAACTAATTCCGGTCTCGAAGACACCATTGGGCGAGTTCTTCAGTCGGCCAATTAAGCGATGCAGAAATTCTCGTAACTCCTAAGGCTCACCTCTCTAGTTGTGTTCTGTATACATGCTATCAAACCATCAATTTCAGAAGATTTTTTGGAACTTGAGAGAAGGATGAATTAAATCCTACAAGAAATTATGAGAAAAATCGATGATTCTCGTTCTCAAAACTCAATCTTTTAATTTCTGTGGATTGACATTTGGCCAGGACGAATTGAATCCTTCCCCCTCCCCCCTTTCTCCGGCCCACAAGAGAAAGAAATTGCTCATTTTGGGCCTGAAAGCCTCTAGTTTCTTTCTCCAGCGTTATGGTTACATAACTTACATTGTGGCATGACCTTACCACTATTCGTTTTCTCTATAGCTTTTCTGTGTAAGAGGGGACTCGTCACGGATTTGTATTCAACTAGTAAATTGCTATGTAATGCATAGACAAGTGTAAATAGAAAGCTGTTATTGTGCAGCTCTGGAGCAACTTTTTTGGAGCTTCATTCACTTGGAAATCTTTTTCTTTGAAAATTGATTTTACACAAAATAGAAACACTCATTTGAAAATTATTCCGTTTTGCCTTCACAATGTGTTGCAGTTCCATTTAAATGATTGATTAATTTAGGTTACCTTGTATGGATCATAAGTAACTCATGCATACGATAAGCTAAATGCCGATCTTGACTTTGCGAAAGGGGATTCGATTTGAGACCTTTTTTTATTTTGGGAAGAGAAGTACGTACCACTTCCAAATTATTGTACTCAAAATGCCACATTGACATTATGCATAAAAAAAAAAAAAAAAAAAAAAAAAAAAAATATAAAGAGAAAAAATTACAATGACAAATCACTAAAATAAAGAAAAATAAAACTAAAATGTAAAAAAAAAAAATCTTCTTGACCTGAAAGATTTTTTGTCATATATTATCAATAAAGAATTTAAATAAAAGCAATTGGGTTAAACTTGATGAATTTGTCACATCACACCCAAGCTGTAAAAGTGACCATCTAAACCGAGCCTTGAAGATTCACTGTGCAGGTCTTGTTGGTAATTATCATCAACACCATCAACCATATTTTGCTGCTGCTGATTTAGTTGCTGTTGTGCATTGTAGAATGCTATTTGAGCTTTTGTCTTGGCCATCTCAGATTGAGCCTGAAATAAATCTTGTTGCAATTGAGAAATTATTTTAACACACCCATATGTTGGATCTTCAACACGTATTGATGCTTCATAAAACATGCAGTCTGCTGCTGCTTCTCTTACATGGACTGGAAGTTGCTGCAATTCACATTATTTACATGATTAAAAATCATTAACAGATCAGTAAATCTCATATTATCTTCAAATACAAACAAGGCTTTCAACTATTTCTCTTTGGTTTTTTTTTAATGTATTTATAAAAATAAAAAAGACATTTGGGGTTAAAGTAGTAACCAAAAAAAAAATCATAGGATAAAAGAAAACATCTACATTACTAGTGGCCATTTTTAATGCTTCCAAAGTTGGTTTGGATTGCAGACGTGAGTTAAGCAAGTTGGTCAAGGCAATGAGCCCGCCTTCTTGCACCCAAGTTCAAATCCTCATTCCCGTATATTAGATTAGTTTAAAGCAGTTTAGACTATCGTTTGTATAAATAAAAAAAAAGTTAGTCTTGTTTGAGTTGTGTAGCCAAATGATGAACAATACTTAAGCAGTTACCTTACCAACTAGGATATACAAATGTAGATAGAAAACAGAACATTTCTGAGTATATTTGCTTTCAAAAGAAAGATTTTTTTGACAGTGCATCCTAATTAATTATTACCTGTAGCATTTTGGTAATGTTGCCGGCACCAAAGATCTTATGAACACAAGCAAATCTCTCTGGATTGGATGAGGGGAAATAGGGTGCCAGAACACAATCTTGAGCGCATTTTCTTCTCAAAAATTTGCAACCTGCACATCTTGTTGGATTGGCCATTAGATTATAGCAGATTCTTTAGAATCTATGCAAAGATTGTTTCTCTAAATTTTCTAGGAAATCAAATTTGTGTGAATGATTTTGTTATGTGTCAAAGATTTTGTTCCCTATATATATAGATTAGGTGATCATGGATCCGTTTGAATATATTGAACACAATCACAAATTCCTAGGGAGCTAATTAGCCTAATATTGGAAACAACACAACGGCTAGTTTCTTTTTGTCAAAGTTTCACACATTTTAGGAAAGATTTGATTGAAGGCAATGGAAGCACAAATTCAATCATTTTGAAGTTTTCCATATGAGTTATATTAAAAGAAGTAATTTATATTATTTATTTATTTTTATTTTTAAAAAACCAGGACCATGGCGCCGCCAAAAACTAAAATGTTGAGTTGGCAAACTTAGATTAAATGTGGGCTGCTTTGTCTTTCTTGGAAATTTGGGGTCAATAGGAATCACGCCTTGGCCCTTGCAAACAAATTATAATAATCTCTTCAACACACACCAGTTTCTGATCACGCGTGTCACAATTTGTACCCTAGTAGGACAAAAACGTGAACTTTTTGTTTTTGTTTTTATTTTTAAGTTTAACCGATTAGCTCACCATTTTACACTCATTTAATAAATATTTTTCCTTTTAGCATTGTAATTAAGTAAGAGCATTTTTTTTATTTATACAAAGCGATAATAGGAGTAGGAGGAATAGAACCTAAGACCTCAAGTGCAAGGTAAATATTCGTAATCACTTGACCTATAATCTATTCACAGTATGTATAGTAAATGCAACAGAATGTTTTAGGTATTTTAGTATATGTACTTGGGTCAAATAAAACTTGCTAATTTACCATTGTATTGGTAATTTTATTAATAAAGCTTCGATTGTTGGGTTTTATATCCCTGTTAACACTTACTAATTAACCTAGTTTGTTCTTCATTTGCTTTCCTAGTTTGTGTAGGTACATGTGCATGCAGGTAACCCAATCAGTTTCCAACTTTATTTTGAAATCCAAACAGAAGACAACTTGTTTGACACGAAGAAAACTTGTTTGACATGAAGAAAACTTGTTTGACACGTTAGAAATAAAAAACGAAAACAGAAACTTGTAATTTGTAATTCTCTCTCTCTCTCTCTCTCTCTCTCTCTCTCTCTCTCTCTCTCTCTCTCTCTCTCTCTCATCTGCTGGCATTGAATCTCTGCTACCAAAGCTATCTTCATCCGCAGTAACACGCGGTAAGCTCCTCTTCAATCCTTGTCTCTGCTTCTTCTTAGTGTTTTAACTCGTTCTCTGTTTTGGAAAATCATATAGTTATTTTTTTCTTCTACCCATAATAATCATATACTGAGTTGAATTAAACACTCTGCTAAATTTCTTTATTTAACTTTTACCGTTCATGGTGTAGCCAACTGGAAAACTAACTTGAGTTTATAAATTTTTACTGAATATGAATGACTGAGCTTTTTGGTTTCTGCTTGAATTGATCATAGAATTGAGGATTTTATTTGCTCTTACATTTTTGGCATTGAAAGTTTCGCACAATTGTGTTATACTAGATCAGGTGCAGTTTCTTTGTAAGTATTATTTGCTTTAGGTTTGTATGTGGGGTTCATAAACGTTCTTTTCACCTTTCAGATGGAAAATCGGTCAACTCGCATAGCGATATTGAATCCTGACAAGTGCAAACCCAACAAATGTAAGCAGGAATGCAAAAGGAGTTGTCCAGTCGTACGTACTGGTATGTTATGTTACTTCTTTTTTTCTTTCTTTCTATTTGTACGTTTATGTCTATGATTGCTTATATACATTATACATTAATAAGAACTTGTCACGTCAATTGGTAACCAAAAGTTGGTCCATTACGCGCCTCTCATATTATAAGATTTTGCTTTTTAACTAGCTTTAACAAAACCAGAAATTGCTTTCTTAAGCTCTCGGTCAAGGTTCGATTCCCTACATTGTATAAGAAAATGCTTTCTTACTTACTAACCATAAATGTGCAGGTAAATTATGCATTGAGGTCTTACCTACGTCCAAGGATGCTCGTATCTCCGAAGAGTTATGCATTGGTTGTGGTATATGTGTTAAGGTGAGTGAAGATTGTATTTGGTTTGGTTTAAATTTCCTGTGTTTTATCTACTCAAGTTGTTTTTTTAGGGGAGCCATTCTTTTGACTCTGGCTATCATGTGATGTGATAATGCAGAAATGCCCATTTGGAGCAATTGAAATCATCAACTTGCCAAAGTCATTGGACAAATATACAACCCATCGTTACGGTTCGAACTCTTTTAAATTACACAGGTCAGTTAATTCCTCACCACTTTGTTGTGATCTTTGATCAGTTTCAGTTTTTAGTGTTTTGAAGTTAATATAAATTAAATTGTACATAATTACAGGTTACCAGTCCCTAGGCCAGGGGAAGTTCTTGGTTTGGTTGGGACTAATGGCATTGGGAAGTCAACTGCCCTCAAAATTTTGGCTGGCCAGCTGAAACCAAATTTGGGTCGTTTCAATGTAACACTCTTTCCCTATATCTCAATCTTCTTAATATTTTCCCCCCTTTGCTAATTACTATGTGATCACTTTCTCCAGCTTTGTTATTTGATGCATTATTTTTTATGACTGTATATCTGTACGCTTGTTTTGCAGAAACCTCCAGCTTGGCCGGAAATCTTGGCTTACTTTCGAGGATCTGAGCTGCAGAGTTATTTTATTCATCTCCTGGAAGATAAATTGAAGGTACACTTTGATTTTGATGCTCATGTCCTTAATAGCATATGATAAAATTTCTCCTTCATGTACTTGTTTAGTGCCTTTTCTTCTTGCTGAGTGCATACTTGTCTTACATGCATTTCTTTTCCGACAACAGGCAATTATCAAACCCCAAGACGTCGAAGACATCCAAAGACAGTATGATGGAAAATCAGTAAGGGAGGTGCTCGAACAGATCGATGAGAGGGGGATGAAGGAAGAGCTGTGTGTTGATCTCGAGCTGAACGATGTTCTGGACAGTAATATAGGCTATTTATCCGGTGGAGAGCTTCAGAGATTTGCCATTGCTGTTGTTGCAACGCAGAATG